TTTCGTTGTCTTTATGTTAGTTTTAATCATAACTGGCGGCCAGTTCTTTTAGAGTTTCGATACACCCTAAAATGTGTGTTAGTTTAATATTGAAAGCATTTAACGATTTATTGCTATGTACATGACATGAAACTCAATGTTGTTTTACATAATGTTATGTTATTGAAAGAAAGCATGTTTTTATGCTTCGTGTTTTCAAATGTTGTGTGAAACCCCTTCTGTTGGATCATACATGAAAAATACTTTTGGTTTTATGAATATGCCTGTAAAAGTGACACATTGCTCATTTTATAGCCTATATGGCATACACTACATTTTTGTGATACAAACATATTACCTTTATCTTATTTTAAAACACTCGATACAGGGCCAAACGTATCGATTTCATATTCTGACCATCATTGTCGGTTGAACTGTCCTTTGAAATGTTTGACTCCCATTTCATTACCGACAGCCACACGATGTGTTTCTCTTTTTCGACAAATCATCTGTCGTAGCTTGACATGTCATATGTTTGGATTTTAAATCGTATCAAGTAACAACAACAATAAAATGCTTAACTGGGAAAATTGTTTTAGCCATAATATTTTTGTTTGTCCCAAAACAAACAATACTTATATATCAACAAAAATTATAAACTTATAAGAAATTCAATTTCCTACAAGTGTCTCTCAAAAATAGACTCTATGAGAAAAACCGATGGATGATGGGAAATCCACGAAATTATAGATCTGACCCCGTGCAATCACTAGATTAGTTCCATGAATATATAAGAAGAAAAAACTTCACTTTTTCGTAGTTTCGAATCACTTTTTGTCGTAGACCAATTTCTATAAATATATGCATTCTCTATTTGTACAATTATCGCTTTGTTGTAATGAATGCTTGTATAATATAAACAGTATAACTCTCTTATAAAGCAGATTTTTATTCTAAGGTAAAACTATGTCAAAATCGATTTAATGATAGAGAAGGGCAGAGAAACAGACACGATCACCGTCACCCACCTCCGTTACACAAGCACATCGAAAAACATTCATCGAGAAACCCAAGCACACAAATGAAGGGCGGCAAGAAGTTATTCCGTCAGGCAGACAGACAAACAGACAAACACTTGTGAATAAGCTTGAGATTAAGTGACGCAGATAATAAATAAAATTGATGCGAGTGCACAACGTAATAAATTATGAATTATTATGCTTTTTTATTATCGTCTCGCTGCCTGCTCTTTGGTGGGTTTGTTTGTGTGTTGTTTGTACGTCCGTGTGTACATTGGGATTTTGGGGGTATTTTCTTGTACATGTTCCACCTTGTTGCTTGTTACTTTTGTATTATTTGTTTTTCTGCTTTTGTTGTGTATAGGAAATTGTGTGTGCATGTGCGTGCTTGCTTTATGTGTATGCGTGCTTTCAATGCAGAAATGTGGCCGATGGAAAAATAAACACGAGAATGTGTTCGAATCCCAAAGGAATGCAACAGAGTCATTAAAAAGTGCTTGCATCTGTGTGTGGATGAATGGGAGTTCTGTCCGTTTGTATAGTGTTTTTTTTTTCACTAAGAGTGGCGGCTTCGTAGCATACACATTTACACTGAGTCCAATACACGTACAAAAATTGTTCATTGGAAGAGTAAAGCATGAAGGGAAAACAAAAGCACTCGCACTCGCACACACACACACACACACACACACAAAAGAAACAAACGTAACATCCGGATTGTGTTTTGTTGCTTTAAGATAATTAATAAATAGGCAGAGAGGAAGAAGAGGAAAAAAGAAAACAGCAATGAAATGTAATAAATTGATTAAATAATATGAATAGGAACATCATTTGCCATAGGCATTGTCTCGTAGAATGTGAGTGAGTTTGCTACTGACATGCACACATTTAAGTGTGTGTGTCTGTGTGTGTGCGATTCCATTCACAAACTTTAACAAGAGATTTATTTATCCAAAGTTTATTTCGGATATGAATGGAATTTCCATGACTTTAATTGACGGAATACCATCAATGTCCATTCGCCCATTTTAATGAATGCTGAATTTTGAGTGCCCAAATTATTACATGCTCTCCTCCCGACCTCCATCTGTCCCAACAGCCTCTGTCCGTCAAATACAAAATTCAAAGCGTTCATTCAATACCATATAGCACTAGGGCTTGAGTGGACACGTCTATTATTCTTAATGTCCATAATAACAAAACACTTGTATCCACAATTCTACACTGATTTCGTCTGACAAACGGTATGGGGAAGGGTAGATGAATGGATGAAATGATTGAGCGAAGACAATAATCTCTGCATCTACGCATTTTACAACATTCTTTCTCGTGGTCAGGGTCTTCTACGTATACATACACACACATACATGTCCAGTGACTGCCTCTGTACAAGCATGACAATATCTGTGTCTGTCCATCGGTTTGTAGGCATTTGATTTTCCTACGTGAATGACACGGGTCGCATGTTGCTCTGTTGACCATTGTAGACTATGACAGTTTCGATCTGTGTGACGTATGATTATTAGCATGGAAAATGCTACAAAATATTGTGTTTCATCTGTGGCGTGTCAAAGTCGCCTTTGTTGGGTTATCTGTATATAAAAGGAAACAGTCGGACTAGACTTGACACGGGGCCATAGTGTTTATACACTGTGTAGTTGTACTACAATTTTACATCGTCACATCTTTCGCCCAGATTGAAATCCATTGCTTCTACTAGCGATGGTTTACCGTTTTGATTCCTGCAAACGTCGCTGTTGCTATATATGCATGTAAGTGTACTGAAGTGTGTCCGTAGTTTTATATTTTACCTCATTTCTATAACTAAGTCGGACTGTGAATGCGAACCCCAAAGATGCGTGGTATGTTTTGAATTTGTTATGGAATTTTTCTCGATTATGTACATATGTGTCTGTGTGCGTTCTGTGTGTTAGTATAAGTATTCTGACATCGCATTCGTTTGAGATATTTTTTCTTAAATTCAAAAGAATTTCACTGATTTATGTATGACAGGAAACATCAAAGACATTGGGTCTGGCTGTGGGACGATTCCGGTAGAGCAAAACTTATGATGTATGGCTGCGTATGTTTACTCTGTAGTAAAATTGTGGGACTTAAAAGTTGTATGCGTGTATAAAGCATATGCTCAAACCACTTGCATCCCCATTCAAGATTCGGAGCAAAGGAAGAAAAACAAATGAACGCCAACCGCAAGTCAAGACATACCCCAACTAACCACCCGTTTTACACGACACAAATCTTAAATAATTTAAATGTAATATGTTGAAAATATCAATAAGTCAAACAACACCACAATTCCGGAATATAAGAAAAAAGTAGCCTATCGAATGTTTCAAATGTTTTTTTAATGTTAATTGTAATATTTAAACGAATAATAGAACAATTCCTTTTACATCATTTGAAAACATCATTAAGGATGTGTATGTTGAACATTGCTTGAGCAAATTAAACAATATCCTTGCAAGTGAACTTCTCTAATTCGACTTTTGCAGGACATATATGTAATTTGATATTGGGACTTTTTTATTTAAAACAAATTTTACTAAAATGATTAGTGACCTCTAGTTCCATAGATTTATATGGACATTTCGTGAGAAAAATTCCATTTGTATGCATGTATAGTTGTTGAAGACAATTCTTACAAATTATCTCGTCAACCGCAAAGACAACATTGACCGGGACAACTGAAGATTGGTGAACGAACATTCAATTTAAATGTTCACCCATTGAGTCGCATTCAGAATAATTGCAACTGTCTGTCATTGTTAAATTGAGATGAAATGATTTGATGTCAATTGCTTCGAATCACAAATGAGACATCAACAACAATGACATGTGGTGGTGTACACACCACTTGATAGTAATTACGACGCACTGAATAGACTTTTTGTCGTCAGCTCGATCCTCGATCGTTGTCTGAGCATAAAACATGTTTCATGGCCAGTCTGTCTTCGGGTCGCCCTTCTGCCCAGATACAAAAAATAATAGACAATTTGCAAATTTATTTTGAATATTTGGTGGATATTTATCTGTCGTTATCACGTTTCTTCCGATAATTAACAATAAACAACTGAATTGAGCGTAGAAATGTTTTGTCCCAAATACCCTCACTGATATGTACATACATACCGAAAGCAAACACACACACACACATACACATTTATATCTAATCAATAATAATAATAATTTATGTTTCTTCTCATCTTCTTCAATTCCAGATGTTTAGTGCCGTATACTTAAAGGCATACAAATGGTCAGCCGTACCGGATAGTATTCGTATTCAGATGCTACAATTGGTAACAACAACAAGAAAAACATCGACGAAGACAACAACATCATCAACGATAACAATAACGAATGAGCATTTCTGATAACTACCTGCTGTTTTCTACACTAAAAATACACACTGAAGAGCCGATCATCGATTGCCGTCTTTCAAATTCTTCTGGTGGTATCTTTCTTGTGCCCAAAACCGCCCTTTGCTCGCTCTTGCTCTCTTTGCTCACTAACGCTCTCCCATACGATATCATCTGCGTTTTAGGTAGTCACTTAAGGGCAAATGAAGAGTTTGTGATACTTTCAAGTCAGTGTACATAAAGCATTTTTATGCGTCGGTCGCGTTAATATTCATTGGTTCGAACGAAATTTGTTTGCCGTCGATCTACAGACGCGTTACATTTACATTGTGTTAACAAATGGCCATAGCAATAAATATAAAAGCCAATACTGTCTAAAAAGCAAATAATGTATTAATTAATGTGCATAGGAATGTCGAGTTTTGAAATAATAGTGTGATCGATTTATAATATATATATATATATAAAGTATATTTACCTAGGATATACACAGCAGCTTTAAGCTGAAACAGAGAATTTATAGTGAAAGTGTGATATTTCTATTCTATTCAAAAATAGAAAACCAGCTTTTAAAATAATAAATATATTGGATATTAGTGGGTCGCTACGTGTCCGGCCCATGCTCATGATTAAATATGCGGAATTACAAAGCCCCAATTCGATGTAAAGGAGGCACACGTAGAGGAAATATAGTAATTTCCCCCTTCTGGTTACTTTTTCGAATATTAACCAGCTATGTGATACTTACAAACTGTATTTCGTCGAGTGTGTTCGCGGAGCCATTTGGCGGCGGTTCTGTTGGTATACATATACCCGGCATAGGCCTGGGTTCTATAACCGAATCTCGATGCCCCCGAGTGTGTTCATGTAATGGATTAACGGTTGATTGTTCACATCGTGGCTTGACGCAGGTTCCACGTAAAATATCTGCCGACGTAGAGAGATTGTAAGTATTTTGAATAACTTTTAATTTTTAATTTGCATCTAATTTCAATTTTCGATTTCTTAACACAATTTACAGTAGAATAAAAAACAGGAGAAAATCAAATAATAACATCACTTTAGGGGTTTTGAACATTTTACAACCATGATGTTGCGATGTCGCGATTATAATGCGAATTATTTTTAACTGATCAACATCATGACACGTTTCGTGTTTCAGTCCAATTATTTGTGCATATATACATACTTGTTTATCTTTATTTTTCATAGAAGTAATGCGTACGTTTTCCAAATTACGAGATATATTTGCATTTCCAATGTATACTTTTGAAGTAAAATTTAAAATATATCGTATACGTACCAGTCGTCGGTATTTTAACGATTTAGGGTTTTTTGAATTTTTCGGCATTTCCAGTGCATTTTTCCCATTTTCTTGCATCGTTCATCTGTTTCGAAAATTAGTTTACTTCCTGATGTCATGAATATTTTCACGGCACCAATTTCCAATCGTCGACATGCCATGTTCCTATTATAGACATGTCGTATTTTAATTGAATGAGAAATTATATATTTTTGATCCATTTGTTTATTATTTTCTTTAATAAATTGTTATTAAAATTCTTTTCCATATATATGTATGTATGATGTCAAAAAATTTTAATAAATTGATTTATTTTATTAAAATATAACAATTATAAATGTTGTTGCCGATTTTAGGAACGAATTATCAAATACACAGAAAGGTTTAATACACACACTTTATAGGTTAAAGAGGTTTGAGATTTAAACCATTTGTGATATTGTGGAAAACTGTTTGTTGTTTTATTTATTTTTTTTTAATTTCGAAAAATGCTGGAAACTTTGACTTTTTTCCTAAAAGCGGCATTGTAAATATCAAAATTACAAATATTTTCTAATAACTTTAAATTGTAGCATGTTCTTGTGTACGTTGACACATGTTAAATTTTTGCTAAATAAATCAGCTTGATGAAATTTTACACACAAAATGGATATAATATTGTTGTAGGTTATTTCAGGTATTTTTCACATTAACTGATTGTTCAATTATTGGAGTTTATATACAACAGATGCCTAATGCAATTGAAATTTGGAACACTTACCCTAGAAGTAGTTTTGCAATTTATGTGTAGTATAAAAACGAAAAGTGGCTAAAATTACACCAAATTCACAATTCAATTTTCTGAACGAATACCTTATACTATATATTCTATGAAAACCATATACCATATTATAAGGAACAGAGGAACTTATTTAAGACATAATAAATTTGCATGCAGCAAATAATTCTGCAACTTTAACTCACTATTTTTGATTAAGCCGGTCTTGCAGCAAATGAGCGATATGTACTGAACGTTGTTTCAATAACAACTCATTAATACATTAGCGGAAAAATTTTCGAGTTTAGCCAGAAAAATACTGTGAAATTAAGGATTATAGATTTTTAATTAAGATGTTTTTTTTTACTTTTCCAGTAATATTTATTCAGCCCTTTTGTGAGAGTAAGAGGGATTCTTGTACTTCAGGCAATAAAATTACTAACAGGAAGAAGACAACATTTTGTGCAAAATTTCAAATTTGTTAATAAATAAGGTTAACCGGTAACGCCAGCTGAAGTATTCTCAGACTCTCAAAATTTATTGTTTGAAGAAAAAATAAATACATAAATAATTTTTTTTCTTTTTTGGAAAGTTATTTTGTGTGTTTTATCCTTTTCTGGTTGATATCGCGATTAAAAAGTTGACAGCAAGCGAAGACTAAGACAAGTATTCGTCTCCCAGTAGACCTTATTTATAGGTCATGGCTTATGCAAAACTTTACTGAGTAAATTTGTTCAGTAAGATTTTCAAATACTCAGTAGTACAAAATTCAAAATAACTCTCTCAAATCACACTCTTTAACTGGAGATTTGTGTAAAAAGACAACATTTAGTAATATATTGTAAAATTTGTTACAAAATATCAAGTACGCAGACAAATTTATGCCCCAGACAGATGACAGTCTTAATTTGCATTAAAAAAATCTTAATTTGAATTAATACTTAACCGATGAGAGTTTTTGCATTACGAAACAATTTTTTGTTTCAAAATAAATTTTTGTCTGTGTGTATGAAGAAAATTATGGAAAATTTTTCCAATATTTTTCGGGATTACATCTTTATAAAATGGATACAAGTCCATTTTATAAATTTTTACCATTGTGAAAAAAAAATATAAAAAAACAAATGCGATATTTTGTCACTTACCATAGAACAGACAAAAACGTATGTTTTGCTGGGTTAATTTCGCTAGTTTTGCACACCTCATCGGCGATTGGAGGTTCTGTAGGAGAGATCATCCAAACAACCCATATGAAGTGTGTTGTATTTCATCCTTTGTAAGTCTCACCGCACGTCCTCTTTTGCAATTCTGCCGCATTTATAGATCGAAGGCGTTTCGCCTATTCCAATGGTCTTTTGGTTTAACTTGATCTTCCATCTTTGTTCCCAAGTCAATTTATTTATTGTGAGCTCTACAATACCCTAGCACACTTGTACATACCATGTGCTAGGGAATTGCAAATGCTACCGCATTCAGTACTTGGATTTCTAAATAGGTTTTTCTTATTTTTTATATTTAAATTATCACATTTATACGCATACTTTAATGGCATTATTTGTATTTCAGAGACCTACAAGGAAATAATATAACTGTGATTTTCGAGTCTGATTTTCAAAGATTAACCAAACTCCGAATACTGTAAGTATTATGATATACCATAACATTTTTATAAAAATCCTAAATCTGTGAACTGATTCTTCCAGGCAACTAACCGACAACCAAATTCATACCATCGAGAAAGGTTCTTTACAGGATTTAATTTCCTTGGAGAGATTGTAAGTCCACGTCCTTGATCACAAGCATGTTTAAGTAGTTCGAGTATTAGAGGAACATGTTTTAAGACTTTCCTACAAATATATATTTTTATTATATATAATATATTTTTAAAATTTACCTTGTTGGCGAAACACGAATGGAATTTATTTGATCTTTGATTAATCATTCAATATTTTAGTATTTCATTACATAAAATGTCAGTAGTGGTAGAGTTGTTTATTAATTATTGATTTTCGATTAGAATGCCAATAATTTAATTGTTTTTTACGTTTCCTTTATTTTTATATACATTTTGTTTACTTTCGATTATCTGCACGCAAATCTTCACATCTTTACGCAGACGCCTTAATAACAATCGACTAAAGGCAATACCTGATAACTTTGTCACAAGTTCAGCGAGTCTTTTGCGATTGTAAGTAGTTTATTAATGCTATGGGCACTCTTCATAACTGCCACTATGAATGTCGGGAATTTGCATGGGTTCTAACAATTAACGGAAGGCTCTTCTGTCTCGAGTTTCTCACGGTTCTCGAAGACATTGTGCATGCTAACCGTATTGTTCGGTACATTGCAAATTCTCGGATCCAAATTTTGTTCGTTTTGTTCGAGTGCTTGTTGAATGTTTTTTTTTTTTTAATTTTTTAATTACTCTCCAAATGTGCTGCATTGGGAGACTATGTGCTCGTTCTCATAGAACTAATACAAATGTTTGTATTTTTTTTTTGTACAGGGATGTATCCAATAATGCGATTACTACTGTGGGCCGTAGGGTTTTTAAAGGAGCACAATCATTACGCAGCCTTCAGTTGGACAATAATCAAATCACATGCTTGGATGAACATGCGTTTAAGGGTTTGGTCGATTTGGAAATACTGTAAGTACAACGACATTTCAGCACATGATTTGTGAAGATAAACTTTACTGAATCATGTTTTTATTTCTTGCATATAGCACACTCAACAATAACAATTTAACATCCTTGCCACATAATATATTCAATGGATTGAGTCGCTTGCGAGCTCTGCGACTTTCTGATAATCCATTTTCTTGTGATTGTCATTTGTCGTGGTTATCACGATTTCTACGCAATGCACCACGATTAGCACCATATACACGATGCCAATCGCCTTCACAACTAAAAGGACAAAACGTAGCAGACTTACATGACCAAGAGTTCAAATGTTCAGGTAAACTAATACACATCACGATACCATAAAAGCGTAACCGAAAAATCTATAAAACAACAATAATTACTTGCCAATTTGTAGGACTAACTGAACACGCACCGCTCGAATGTGGCCTTGAGAACAGTTGTCCCCATCCTTGCCGATGTGCCGATGGTATTGTCGACTGTCGCGAAAAAAGTTTGACTGCTGTTCCGGCCACTCTTCCAGATGATACAACGGAATTGTAAGTTATCTTTCAATAAACGTATATGGGAAATTACAAAAATCTTTTAAATTCCTTGAAACTGAGGTTTGCAAGCTTATAACTCGCGAAACATAAACATATTGCATATATTTTAAATACATTTTTATAAAATGAAGTGTTCTTGTCAAAATCTTAAAATATTGGTAATAAAAAATTAGTTTGGTGGAAGCTGTGATGGTGGTAATGTAAAAAAATGGGTGAAAATGTGTTGAAGCCAACGAGTTTTTTTGAGTTCCTTCCTGATTTGTGGCTAAACTACACAACGCACGCACATGTGATCGGTGAATAAGTTGCAGAATACCCCATGGACAACATGGTTCTAATGTATGATTTTTCGATATAATCACTGCATCCACCCAAAACGGATGCTGACATTTTGAAGCCGGATTTTCGGTGTTTTTTGAATTTTTCTTATAATCAGGACGCGCATCCAGATAATGGACTAAACTGATTTTAAGATTGTAGAACTCGTGATTCTGCTTCGTTTGGTGCATATCTCATGAATGTGCTCACAGTAGGTTCTTTGCAATTGCATTCCAAAGACGAAAATTGGTGCGAAAATTTTTATAAAAACCCTATTTTTTGATTCTAAATTGAAGAAGTCCACTCAAATGGCGTGGAACCCCGCGTGATTTTAGTTTTTTTACGTGCCGGATCTAATGAGCCCCGCCATGTTCAATTCCGCCGAATAAAACGGCGGATATAGGTACCTTGAAAGTAGGAAAAACTGCAAAAACTTATTTTGACTAATTCGCGTATATAATCGCGTTTTTCTTCGAATTGATTTTACCTAAATTCCTGATTGTATTATCATATTGCGAATCTGTGTAAAAATAGGTCAAAAATACATCGATACGCGAATAATATGCATATTTTATCCAAAATTGATTGTGGTGGCACATCCGCGGTTCTTAACCAATTCTTTTAAAATAGATGTGCTTTTTTGTATTTTCAATGGAGATTACTGAAACCCGATGCGCATAAAAATCGTATGCACGTTGCGTCATTTTTAGCCATTTTTGCCGTTTTTGCATAGTAAAGTGCATCGAGCTGCACACTTTGGCCGCTTAATGAAATCTCGAAAAATACATAATTATTGGTAGAGATTGATCTGGTTTACGAATACGCGAATTGCATGCTTTTCAATATTGACCATTTTTATGTATTGTAAGTGCAATATATTTAGTCATTTTTAACGTCGAAACTCTTATCCGATGAATCTACCGATATTTAACAATCATCTAAAAGAATTTGCAGAAGAAAGCATCGTATATTTTAGAAGATTAAGGCAAACTCGTATTCCCTTAACTATACTAAAAAATCGAAAATTCAAATAAACGTTTTGTTTTAATTAAAAAATGTATATATTTTATGTTCAGATATCTTCATGCTTCTATTTGTTTTTCGCGACTATTAAACCGTATTTCAATGTGATTTGGAATGGAATTTTAATATAATTTTGTAATTTCCCATATATTTATTTATTTGCTTGATTTTGAATTTGTTTAATTTTTAATTTGTTACAGGCGGCTTGAACAAAATTTCATTACCGAACTTCCACCAAAAGCGTTTGCTAATTTTCGGCGTTTAAGGCGGATCGATTTGTCTAACAATAACATTTCAAGAATTGCACACGATGCCCTAAGTGGCCTTAAGGCACTAACCACACTGTAAGTATTTTAGAAATGATTGATTTTTTCTGCGACTATCCCAGTCGCATACACTTTGATTGGGAATAGTTTTAGTCTACTAAGAATCGAACTGTATCGTTCTATAGGATTATACCAACCTTCCTCTCAACTTTGTAAACTACACACCGCACTTTAAAAAATTGACAAACACTAATTACTTTGTGTTAAACATGCATATATTAAACTTTTTGAGATAATCCTTAAATATAACACACAAAAATTATACTGTAATATGCCCGCCCTCAAAAGCTAGGTTATAGAATTGTTTAAGTATTTTTATTTTTGCATTATGGATCTTGTGGAAAACTCAAGCTCTAGCTTATTAAACGAATAACCTAGCACTTGGGGCCGAAATATCACTACATAATAGATAAATTACGTTCTAGAGAAATTATTTTGTGAGAGAATTTCCATTACATCCATTACATTCGATAGAGTCACACAGTCCTTCAGTCTATTTCTGAATGGTGTGTACAATGACGTGTAGAGTTTCCAACACTACCACAAAAATAAAACATTTATGGGCAATATCTGCTCCCACCCAGCAATATTGCAATTTTATGATGAGCAATCAGACATCAACCCTTGTGTGCCTTGTATGCATGTTTGTGAACACATGCATGGTTGAAACCTGTTTGAGTGGCAACAGAGCCTCACTATTACTTCAAGTGCCAGAGTATTGTTCATCTGCATATGACAAACGATGCTTCTTTTTTTACAATTGAATGATATGGTTTTATATTTTCTTCTTTTCAGTGTTCTATATGGCAATAAAATAAAGGATTTGCCCTCGGGCGTTTTTAAAGGACTTTCATCACTTCAGTTGCTCCTGTTAAATGCCAATGAGATTTCGTGCATTCGCAAGGATGCTTTTCGCGACTTGCACAGCCTGAGCTTACTATCCCTGTACGACAACAACATTCAAACGCTGGCAAATGGCACTTTTGATGCCATGAAGAGCATTCAGACACTGTAAGTATTTTGTTTTGAAGAAGCGCAACCATCTATCGAGCGCTGTACGTGCAAATATGTTAATCCTCTGTTTTTGTCACTTATACAAGAGTCCTCCCATGTGTAATTTAAAAACAATCTAGTTAATGTGCGTTATTTGTTACGATGTTACATGTCAAAGGGAAAGGTGGTGAAAAATGGCCATGGGGCTATTATATAATTCTAATGCAACCTGTTGATGTTTTTTTCCGATCTGTCGTATCAATTTCCTGAACAATATTGACAATGATTAACATAGCTGCGAGCAACAATTAAAAAATTTGATATTAAATGGATTTTTTATGCGTTTAATGATGTACAAAGAAAATTCAATATTTTTAAATATATAAAAAATAATTTATTAGAAGTCATTCGGTGGATAACATATTATTCTTTATTTGGGATTTGAAAAAAAAAAACACGTAGAGAATTTGTGGCGGAATACGACCGTGTTGTCATGGGCTCGTATAATTTCCTAAATAGAACTATAGGGTTTTAATGTATTATTTATCCTGTGCATTGCTCTTTTACACACATGCATTCATCGCTCATTGTTGAATGTAAACAATAAAACTCTTACACAACAACACTTAGCAATCTACTTAAAGAACATCATCTTATCGTTCACCCACAGGCATCTGGCAAAGAATCCTTTTATTTGCGATTGTAATCTGAGATGGTTGGCCGACTACTTGCACAAAAACCCCATTGAAACAAGTGGTGCTCGGTGTGAATCGCCCAAGCGCATGCATCGTCGACGTATTGAAACATTGAGGGAGGAGAAATTCAAGTGTGAGTTGTTTTCCTTTTTTTATTTTTTTATTTTTTTTTGAACCCAATCCACTCATACCCATACATGTATATTTACATCATTACTTACTTGAGTCAAATGTAATACGTATTGTGGTTGTTTGTTTGTTTCTTTCTTCTCTTTCTATTTTGCTTAGGCTCTTGGGATGAAATGCGGATGAAACTCTCGGGAGAATGTCGACTGGACACTGACTGTCCAGCGCAGTGTCAGTGTGACGGACCAATTGTGGATTGCTCTGGACGCGGTTTGAAGGAAATTCCGCGTGACATACCATTGCACACTACTGAATTGTATGAATAACATAATAATAATTTCTATATTTATAAATTCCGGCATGCATATGGGTGCTAATAATGTCTTTAATCGGTGTATTTTAGATTGTTGAATGACAACGAGTTGGGACGAATAACGTCGGATGGCTTATTTGGTCGTTTGCCGCATTTGGTTAAATTGGACCTCAGACGAAACAAAATCAGCAGCATAGATGCTAACGCATTTGAGGGTGCCTCCCACATACAGGATCTGCAATTAGCCGAGAATAAAATCAAAGAAGTCTCCAATAAAATGTTTTTGGGTCTCCATCAGTTAAAAACATTGTAAGTGGCGGCGTTGAACACAATTAATCCAATTACGTGACTACTAATGTATCAATTATTGTATTTCCTTTTCGTTTCCCACCTTGCGCTTGGCCTGCTTTGTACTTTGCTTCGCAACAGGAATCTATACGACAATCAAATTTCTTGTGTAATGCCAGGATCCTTTGAGTTTCTAACATCACTATCGTCCCTGTAAGTATAACAACCACTTCAATGGCATATGTGTAGACGCTCATACATGTACATATATTAGACATGTGTGCATATCTGCTTCCTATGTACATATGTATGTATGTCTTAATATACAGTGAACACACATAATAACGTATTTGTGTCAGTTTGTACTTTTACGTGTTTATCATCACATTCAATTCCACAAGACAGCGAGAAGAAGAATCTCTTAATTGTATTTAAGAAGTATGTTTTTTAATGTTATGTATGGATGTGTGCGAGTGGAATGTTTAACTTAATTGCAACTACTTATACGTGTGTTCTGATCAAATTAAATTGAGGTTAATGGGTTTCGATTGCTGTATGTGATTTTAAAGTAAATTCTGATGGACCAAACAGCATCGCCTTATGTGAAAGACACCCCATGGCATGGAAATTGCGTCCAGCTTCCCCAAACTCACCAGCACACATATTATTAGCAACATACGTTCATCAATGAATCCATTTCGGCGTGCACTCCTGAACTTTTTTTTGTCTGTCAGTCTGTCTAATACATTATTTGTCTTTTCTTTGTTACAAACGACTTCACCCCATGAACGCTTTCATCAGCATCGTATAGAAGAACTCTGTTACATGGTTGTAGTAGCATGCAACAGAAACCTCATCACCATCATTTCTCCCAACGACTCATTCTTGAGTGGTTACAATGTTCTTTCTCATAAATACGTAGTATGTATGTACAAGTAACATTCAGGGGTGTTTGTCGCTGTCTCGTACCAATACAAGGTACAATAGTATGTGTATGCCATGAGAGAGGCAGCTAGCTCATTGTTCGATGATTTAATTAATTGAAATTAAGTTCAATAAAGGCAAGACATCAAGAGCGCTTTCTTAATATTGCAAACATACGTTTGCCATCAGGGACGACGTAATTGTATATATATATATATAGAAAAGTACATCATCGATTTCGTGTCAACGATGTCCTTAACTCAGAGTTTTCAAAAGTTTTCAAAGTCATAACACACCGTAAAGAGTAGTTGTACATTTCAGACATCCCTAAGTATATTTATCTGATCAAAGACGTAATGCTTCTATGTTTGTTTGGATTGATTGGACTTGATATGTATAACATATGTATATACAAAGATAGTTATGTAACATCCTTAATTCAAGTAATTCAAATGTGAAATTACTACCTTTACAGGAATTTGGCCTCCAATCCATTTAATTGTAACTGCCATTTGGCATGGTTCTCTGATTGGCTACGTAAACGGGAATTGAATGGCGGTGCTGCCCGTTGTGCCACACCGTCAAAGGTGCGCGATGTGCAAATACAAGAATTACCCCACCATGAGTTTAAATGTACGTCAGACAATAATGAGGGATGCTTGGGAGATGACTACTGTCCACCAATGTGCACGTGCACCGGAACTGTTGTACGATGTTCACGAAACAATTTAACGGAAATTCCCCGTGGAATTCCGAGCGAAACAACTGAGCTGTACCTGGAGTCCAATGAAATTTCCATTATACACAGCGATCGGATCCGTCATTTGAAGTCACTCTCACGACTGTAAGTAGTAATTGCATTAGTATGGAAATGTGTAATAACTAATTCTTCCGTCTGATTTGCAGGGACTTGAGTAATAACAAAATAACCATGTTGTCGGACTACACGTTTGCGAATTTGACGAAGCTTTCCACACTGTAAGTAGTAAACCGGACACTGTGGTGGAAACTTTCAAAAACCTATTTTACTTTTCAGAATAATATCATTTAATAATTTGCAATGCCTGCAACGACATGCACTGGCAGGATTAAACAATTTGAGGGTCCTTTCTTTGCACGGCAATCAAATATCGATGATGCCCGAAGGCTCATTTGAAGACTTGAAGTCACTAACACACATGTAAGTTGAAATTGTTATTTACTGACGCTGAAATTCGATCTGATCTCTATTTTGCATACAGTGCTCTAGGTAGCAACCCCCTGTATTGCGATTGCTCACTGAAATGGTTTGCGGATTGGGTAAAATTGGATTATATTGAACCTGGAATTGCGAGTTGTTCGGAGCCAGAACATATGAAAGATAAACTGATACTTTCGACTCCCGCGCATAGTTTTGTATGCAAGGGCAAAGTGAGCAACAGCATATTGGCGAAGTGTGATGCATGCTTCACATACCCCTGTCAAAATAAGGGCAAATGTGTGTCATTGCCAGAACGAGACTACCAATGTCTGTGCCAGCCCGGTTACCATGGCAAGCACTGTGAATTTATGATTGATGCGTGCTATGGTAATCCCTGTCGAAATAACGCAACCTGCACTGTGCTTGAAGAAGGTCGTTTCAGCTGCCAGTGTGCCCCAGGATACACGGGTGCTCGTTGCGAAACCAACATTGATGATTGCTTGGGTGAAATTAAGTGTCAAAATAATGCCACATGTATTGATGGTATTGAATCATACACATGCGAATGTCAGCCTGGCTTTACCGGTATGTTCGCATTTATTTAATTTACTCTAACAAATATATGGACAACACCTAACTATCTGCTGTATTGTTTTCTATACACTTTTTTAGGAGAATATTGTGATACGAAAATTGAATTTTGCAGTCCAGAATTCAACCCGTGTGCTAATGGAGCTAAATGCCAGGATCACTTCACTCACTACACGTGCGAATGCATGCCAGGATTCCATGGAATAAATTGTACAGACAACATAGATGATTGTCAGAATCATATATGTCAGAATGGGGGAACTTGTGTCGATGGCATCAACGATTATGTTTGCATGTGTCCCGACGATTTCACTGGGAAGTATTGCGAAGGACATAACATGGTGTCAATGATGTATCCCCAGACATCACCTTGTCAGAACCATGAATGTAAACATGGGGTATGCTTCCAACCAAATCCCTCCGGCTCCGACTACTTGTGTAAATGCCATCCAGGTTATACGGGAAAATGGTGCGAATATTTGACGAGCATTAGTTTTGTACACAACAACTCATTTGTTGAAATGGAACCGCTGCGAACAAAACCTGACGCCAACGTGACAATTGTCTTCAGTACTTCGGAACAGAATGGCATTCTTATGTATGATGGACAAGACGCACATTTGGCAGTCGAACTTTTCAATGGCAGAATACGAGTTAGTTATGACGTGGGTAATTATCCAGTGTCGACAATGTACAGTTTTGAAATGGTCGCCGATAGCAAATATCATTCAGTTGAGTTGTTATCGATCAAAAAAAATTTTACCTTAAGAGTGGATCGGGGCTTAGCAAGATCAATTATAAATGAAGGCTCCAATGAGTATTTGAAACTTACAACGCCGTTGTATTTGGGTGGGCTGCCTCCAGAGCCCGCACAACAAGCCTATAAAAATTGGCAACTTCGAAACCTCACCAGCTTTAAGGGATGTATGCGTGAAGTCTGGATTAATCACAAGCTAGTAGATTTTGAGAATGCGGCACGTCAGCAAAAGATTACCCCCGGTTGCGCCTTACTAGAAGGAGAAAATAACGAAGATGATGAGCAAGATTTCATGGACGAAACACCGCACATTAGCAAAGAAGTAAGTTCAGCGTCTTTTTTGAGGAATATCCGATCAATATATCGAATCTTTTTAAACAGGTTGATCCATGTGAAAATAACAAATGCAAAAGAGGAAGTCGCTGCGTGCCCAATTCGAGCTCACGAGACGGATACCAATGCAAATGCAAACACGGTCAAAAAGGACGTTACTGCGATCAAGGTGAGGGCACCACCACAGAGCCCCCATCAAACACTGGTATTAATCATTCATTCATTATAAAACCCATTACTAACACAACTTTGCATTTCAATTGGTTCCTCTCACATACATATCTCATAGTTTGTTGTTGTTGCATTTGAAAACATGATATCCTCATTAGAAATCATTTTTCACTTTCTCTGTGTCAATCAAATGATGGAACTATAAATAATTTTATGATTAATATTATTTGCAGTTACGTCGACTTGTCGCAAGGAACAGGTGAGAGAGTACTACACAGAAAATGATTGCAGATCTAGACAGCCTCTGAAATATGCCAAATGTGTGGGAGGCTGCGGCAATCAGTGCTGTGCAGCGAAAATTGTGCGAAGACGCAAGGTAAGCTCTACGACAATGACCATAACAGAAAAGAGCAAACTGCTAATATTCTCAATTTCACAGGTGCGCATGGTATGCAGCAACAATAGGAAGTATATTAAAAATCTAGACATCGTAAGAAAGTGCGGGTGCACAAAGAAGTGCTACTGACTGAAAAATGCGACTACCCAAATAAACAACAGCAGCTTAGATAAAAATTTCACCATTTTAATTAGTAATAATAATAATAGTAGTAATAATAATAATAATAGTAGTAATACTTATAGAGATAGCAATTATACTTTAGAAGATAGCTTTAAGGTTACAGAGAAACTATTTAATGAATATGTTAAACGAAGGAATGGGGAGACATCTAAACAAACGGAGGATGACAGCAATAATGCTAGCATAAGCTCCCAGGATCATGGAGACGAGGTGGCTGAAGACGACGACGACTATATGAATGAATATGAGACTGAAGACGTGACGGACGACTATACAGGAGAAATGCAATTGAATCCAAGTACAGACTTCTATGATGACGACGAAGACGATGATGGACTGTATGACGACGACAGAGACGTGACCGAGGATGACAACGATGAAGGACCCGAATTGTTGCCTGAGGCTAAAGGTCTGATTCAGTCATCCATAAATGTCGGAGGGGCAGGGGAAGAGGAGGAGGAAGATATGGGATATGACGAGGACGATGAACGTATCGCCATTGCCGTAGAACGGCCTAAGGAAGCACGTTTTCGTCCAAACATAGACCAAGAACAAGGTTTTGTAAACGAAGAAGGCAGTGGCAACTTTGGCAGATTGTCCAAGAACACATACAAAGATAACCAAAATGACAGATTTAGATTCGATTACATGAATAAGTACAGGCGGAAACAACAAAAGCTGAACGGAAGTCACAAAAGTGGGGACGGAACGGAGGCTGATTTGCGAGAAAGCAGCGGCAATTTTGCTAACGATGATGAAGATAATGATGACGACAGCGATGACGATGACGACGAAGAGGGCGACGGGTTCTTCAATTCTAAGCGAAAGTCTAACAGCCGTTACTTCCGCAAAAATACCAACGATGCAATCAAAATAATTTCCACACCTTTGGGAAAAGTTGGCATCGTATACCAACAGACACCAACAAATGGCGAAGAAAAAGAAGTGGACAATAACGAAAAGAAGTCCACATCATTCACAGATTTTGACGCCCTGTCGCCAGATCCGGAGAGCAGTCATCGTCTGGCGTCCTCTCATCCGAAAATTACACCGGTCTTAACACCCGATGGCAAGGTTGCCCTGCTTTACCGCGGAGACTCCGAAAATACTAAATACGAACCAATACGAAACCTTACAACACACAAATTTAATAAGAACTCAGAACAGAACTCGGAAAAGAAAACACACAGTGGGGCAGATAGCAGCAGTGGCGAATACGATGATTCGGAACAGTCTTCAGACACGGATGAAGATGAGGAGTCTAGATTTGGCTCAAACAATGACCAAAATTCGCAAGTATCCAAAACCACTGTTAAAGAGGAACAAGCTGCTATTCTTCCCGCCCCGGAAATGGCACCCACAACAGGATCATTCATAATTCGACCAACAGATTCCGTACTGCCAATGATTAACCGGCCATTGTCCGAGGTACTTGGCATTAAAAAGAATCAGTTTAAACAGTTCCGTGTCAAGGACATCTCCACTACGACAGAACAATCCACGCGACCCATTCATGGTCTTAATGTTGACAATTCCGATTCTACTACCTTGCACTTCCTCACTAAAGTCAATCTTGCCGATTATCCAACGTCGTCGCGTTCGAGAAACTTTGATTTTGATTTCAGTCGGGACAACACAATGCTAGATGAACGAACACGTCACAGAGAACAGGAGGCCAAATCACAACTCAACAGCAACCTAATGAATGGTAATAACTTGGACGAAAACAATCAGGCATCTCAAATTGCCAACGAGGAAATCTTATCCAAAACTGAGGTGGTTAATCTTGCAATTATACCTCACTTCGATGAAGAACTCGAACGCCTGCAAAGGTTGCGTGAATATGAAGAACGTCGTCATCATCGCCAACGACACCGACAAAAGCAAAACGATGAGGATCTATCGGGCATACATTGCATCATGCAGGCCATGATGGGTATTGCAGCCATTTCGACGGTTTTCGGGATGCTTGGCACGTTCTTCAAGCAACGAATTCTTGACCAGTTGCGCCTAATGCACTGGTAGTACAACAAGGGTATTCGATTGTTCTTCGTCTTGCAATTGAATACCCCATCGCACTTGTTCTTGTTGCCACTGTCGTTGTTATCCTTATTCTAATCCCTTCTTTACGCCTTCTTTAGACGACTCGACTTAGGAACACTGAACCAATCACGCATAGCCTAATGCATACATACAAACATAAACACACATATATCTATTTCAATATAACCCGTAATGTATAACAATATGTATTAACACATAGGTGAATGGTTATATCATATATGCATTTAGATATACAAACAAAAAAGCAAACATTTAACATATAAACTATTTTTTTTTTGGTGTGTATTGCTTCCCGGTACACATTCACTTACATACATACATACTTCATGTTTAACATCGAAAAGTTATAATTTAGATATAATTTGCATAGTAATCATTTGTGACTAACATAATACATCTTAATCCCCAATTCACTCATACACCTATTATATTAACAAAACATATATATTCAACAACATATTTATCAAATACTAAATACAAACGTACATGCATACACGTCGCTCATCTATGACAAATCAATAATAATGTGCCAGCTACCCAGGCAGAACAAAACGAAAGCACTTATACACACACACACACTGGAGCTCACCTCAATACATACGTAGCAGCAGCCATTTATGACAACGAAATCTAATGCAATTCATCTTTAACATTCATTCCAAGAGTCAATTCCAAGCATAATTTTCACTTGTTCTCTTTGAAACCTTGCCCAGTATTTATGATAACAGTGACCACTGCACACATAGTACATACCTTACATACCAAACCAAGCAGACAACCGTCGGACATATCTGCATTTTATGTAGCCCTAAAATTTCCACAATTTCCGTCACATACATTGTACGTATGTACCCATAACATACATAAGTGATGCATTTCATTTGCACCGTTCGAGACATGTAATATCAAGCACCAACAAGTCCACCGCTAGAATCGGAAATAATTTAATACTGAATCGAAACAAACCTGAAAGAAGACAAACGCACCTCCAATACAAGTTTTAACGACATTGACCGACAAACACCAGACTGCCAGACCCCCCTCGATCCCCTCAGAGAATTCGGCAACGGGATGGCCAAATCCCCATACCGAATTAAAAGTGAAAATATTTATTTGTATTTTTAATGTATACAAATTATTATGTATTTATATTGTAAGACAGTTTTACTATTATTAACGAATTTTTCAACAAATCGTTGCAAAAGAACTTAGATTAATCAAAGAAACAAACAAAGCTCAATGGTGAACTAAATTAAAAAAAATAAATTGAATGGAACAATTAACGAACTAACATCTAAGCTGGGTAGTCGCATGTAAAAATATTGAATTAAAACCAACAAAATAAATATTTCCATAAAATCATATTTATTACAAAAAACTATATTTAAGTAACTATTATTAATAATTATATATATACACATCCACACACCCACACTTATCTAGTAAAATAAGTTAGTCTAAATAAACGACAAAGAAATTTAATTCAAGCATGGGAAAACAAACAAACTATTACACTTGCCCTTGATATAATGTAACAATCCGATAGAAATACCAATTCACATACACGCATATATACAGATCCAATTAAACAATGAGTGAAGCTTATCCTCAATAAACAATATTTTTCAAATCACTGTTTGTTTTCCCCGCCCGCCCTCTTCGTCTTGTACAATACAAAATCATTATATGCAGAATGATAATATTATATGATATAGTATATAAATACTATATCGAAAACCTAATAAGCCCACATTTATATATATTTGTTTTTATTGTTTTCGATTATAATCTATTGTATGTATTAAAAATCTAACTATATATAAATATTCTAACGTCTATCTATCGAATAACAAACGAAATACTTTATCGAATGTGTCGAAAAAAAACTTCGTCAAAACGTAATAAATACATTCACATGTAAACCAAACACGCTTGTCTTTAAGTTAAAAGGGTACATCCGCCGGTAATGAAGTGCGTGGCGTCTTCTTGTAAAAGTTACTCATCAGGGGGCAGTTTTCAAATTTGGAGTAAAATTGTTCTTCATATAAGCTGAATTTAATTTCTGCAACAATTAATTTCTTTTTATAGATTACTTTTGCATTTATCTTATTAGATGTACCATATCAATAATAGAATTAAAACAAAACTATTGCCGCTTAATTTTTAAATCTGTAGGAAATGAATTATGAAGGGCTATGTCATGGTAAATATTTTCTAGGAAGATTTGACACCCAATGAAAACATCAAGCACCAAAAAAGCTGGACAATCCAGTCAGACTAGCAACCGAAGATATAACCTATTTGAGTACAATCAAAGTCGTTTATTGTGTAAAATATTCAGCCCATTCCGGCTTTGATCCTCTCCTTGCAGGAATTCTTGCTGTTTTTTCTGTTCACTATACTATTATAGCTACTTGCAAACACTCGGATATTAAGATTTCCAGGCGCGTTGGTCTTGCGCGCATCTCTTCCAATTTGAAAGACAATGTTTCGAAATGTTCTCTTCCACTTGATCTTTCCATCTAATTAGTGGCTTTCCCCTTCTGCGTGAGCAATCAGTAGTCTCGCTTTTATATGCCTTTTGTGCTGGAGCATCCTCATCCATTCTCACATCATGTCCTAGCCACCGACAGAGACGTAGCCAGGATTTCACTTCGGAGGGGCCCACTGAGAACCAAAAAATATTTTTTTCTCGCATCATCCTACTCCATCGTTAGCTATTGAATAGTTTTACGACTTTTAAGGATTTATAACGGAAATTCGTTCACAAATTGAGTGCTTTTCCGTTTTCATACTATTTTCTATAAAAATTGAGTGATTTAATTCTTAAACGTTATAGAATTTGAACGACCAGGATTAAAAAAATCACACCATCATATTGTTTTACTATGCATACACTTATTTTCAAATTTCACTTTATTAACGTGTTAACAAATGTCTAATAACCCTGAACATACTGTAAATTGGAGGATGATATATAATATAGGGGTCGCACTGAAACGAGGAAACAGCCAATTCGGTTCAAAATAGAGAAATTTTGGAGGTACCGTTATATGGGGGATATGTCTACACGTCGAGTGATATAGCTCGGGCACTTCTGTACAAATTTTTGAACAGCAAATTTCCCTGTTTTCGGACGAGCTAGTTGAAGCCCTAAACTTATTATAGGATCGTAGGACTCGTGATTTCATTTCGATTGATGTAACATTTTTATAAAAAACCTATTTATTGGGTTGAACCCTACGTGATTTTATTTTTTTTCTTTACGTGCTGAATCTACTGAGACCAGCCGTGTTCAAATCCGTCCAATAAAACTGCTGTCAAAAGTACTTAGAAAGTAGAAACATCTGCAAATACATAATTTGTGAATTCCGCTTTATTTTGTATATAAATATAAACATTTATAAGCCATATTCCTGAGTAAATGCATCATAAAAAATTTGTAGGGGAGCAGAAGAAGTGGACCGATAAGTCCCATCTTGCAACATTATACACGTTTAGAAAAAATATTAGGGTATCAAAGTTTGGTTCAAATCCGATGGTCTGTTCCCAATTAATTTTCAGCAAAATTTCGACCATTTTGTGGGGGAGGTACCAGAAGAAGTGAACCGATATTCCCCATATTCGAACTAGATTTAAGTTTGAAATAAATATTACGATGTGCACAGCTTGGACCAATCGCACATTCCATTCGCTTTATATTAGATTTATGAATATTCAATATGTTGACACTTTGTGTAAGAGGTACCAAAAGAAGAGGACCGATAGGATTGGTAAAAATATTTCGTTGTGCAAAGTTTGGATGAAATTGGCTATTGCCTTCGCTTCATATGAGATTTACAAGTTGTCGAAATATTGACTCTTTGTAGGGGATATACTAGAAGGAGTGGACTAATGAGTCCCATCTTCAAACATTATATATTCGATAAAATATTAGGTTTTGCAGAGTTTAGTTGAAATCGGATAGTCAGTTCGCATTATATTATAAAATTAATTTTCATAAAATTTTCACAAAATGGTCAACATCATTTTGTGGGGTAGCTTGATTTAAGTTTGGAAGAAATTTTACGATGTGCAAAGTTTGAAGGAAATCGGTTACTCCCTTCGAGAAATGAGTCCAAAGAACCATGGAGGATAAAACCAATATTTCGATGAGGCACTTTTTTGCGAAGCAAAATATATTGTTACGTTCTTCGATTTTACTTAATCCCGTGTAGACGTTGTTTTATTTCCCAATACAGTTCGTACCAAATAAAACGCGGGTTCTTTCGGATTACGATTATTACAATGATTTTATTCACACAACTTTACTTGCACTTTACTTTACTCGATGGTTTCAATTCGCGATCTGATTCACAACTGACTAACTGCCTTGCCATTTCCTCTATTTATATGAGCCTTGCCTGTCGCTACAGAAGTTTCTAGACGATCTGGTAACACCTAGATTACGAACAATCTACCAATGCAACAAACACATACAAACTTACATTGAGTGAACAATAACAACAACACATATACAGGTGAGGGAGTAACAAAGAAAGAGGAATTAAGCGATCATCAATGATGACGTTTAACAAGAATTGTACGTCAATAACAAAATAGAAAATGAAAGAGGAAATGGAAGGATGTAGAAAAATCTATACAGTAGTTGTTGTTGTGAAGTTATTCGAATAAACTGCGTAGTAGAAATTTACGTTACAATTCAAATTCTTAAATTAACGGAATTCATCTAAATTAATTTAAATCTAAAGTTATATTCGTAACATTGCCCCCCGCTTAAGCCTGTTCGTCCCGAATAGGCACAGTACCCGTTCCGTAGGGGGCCAGCCGCTCCAAATGTATAACTTTCATCTTCGACCTGGGACTGTCGCTCCTCTGGATGCGGTAAACGACGTCATTTATTTTCGTGACAATCTTGTAGGGTCCTTCCCAGTGCGTTTGCAATTTGGGGCATAGTCCTTTCTTTCGTTGAGGGTTGAACAATAGTACCAGTTGCCCTTCTTGAAACCCATCGGTATTTGCCGCTCGATCGTACCTTGCCTTCATGCGGTTGCTAACCATTTTTATTCGATGGCGAACTGCA